GCAGCTTTACTTGGAACAGCTTGCATCCTGCAATGATACCTTTAATATTATTAAACAAAAACATCTGCCTATCCCAGATCCTTGGGAAGGACTCAATAGGTGGATAAAAATGCCAGATCCAATCTAAACATCTTGCTGACTGTGCAATCAACAACAGTAATAACAGGCATCCAAGTAGTGATAATAAATCCTGCCAAACTAAAGTAATCTGTATACCTCTTTTCTATCTAAGTGAAATGTTACTTGATTTCAGGAAAGCATTTGACAAGTTTGCAAAATAGTAAAATGTGAGCTAGATCTGATGGATTCTGAGCCATTTCAATGTTTCTTGGCAATGAAAAAATAGGAGAATAGGGGAAGTCAAATCTGCAGATGATTAAAAAAAGAGAGAGAGATCCCCATCTCAGAAGATTGGGATATAATTGAAAATTAATGGAATTCAACAAAACTAATTGCAGGGGCCTGGATTTAAAGATTCCCTCCCCCCATTCTTTCAGACAATAAAATCCACGAGAACAAGATACAGTACAAAGTTTAGCAGCAGACAGGAGTAAATATGGAACAGATTTTGGGATTGCAGATCTGCGCAGCACCAGTCTAACTATAATCTTCATCAACAAGACAATATTTTCCCACTCATACAAAGTAACCAGCTTGCTTCTTCGTTTTTGTTAAGAGGCCTCCTTTCACACGGGCCTTGTGTGAAAGCCCTGCCTTAATACCGGAAGTTGCCCTCCGCAGGCTCAAGCAGAGATCCTCCATATGCAGAACTGTACACCACCGTCTTTACCAACAGGTCTGCTGTTGTCATTGATACTTGGGCAGGATTACACAAGCACACAACGTCCGAAGGCAAGGCCACTTGGCATGGACCCATTCTTGTTTCTCTGTGCAGAGAACCACTTTTTGTATCCTGTGAATAGGGCTATATTACTCTACCCTGTCTTGGAGGTCTATCTTCAGTTCTGAGCACTGCATTTTCAGAAGGGGAAGAGTTAAACTGGAACAGTTTCAGAAGAAAGCCATGAAAAAGGTGAGGAATATGGAGAACAAATGCTAGGAGAAAGAAAGGCTGAAGGAACAGAGTAGGTTTAGAGCACTCTTTATATTATCTGAAGAAGTGCTAAAACGATGCAGTGCTATCTGTCTTCTGCTGCCTAGAAGGCAGGAACAAGTCTTACAGGCTCAAATTTTGGCTGAACATTATGGAAAACCTCTTGAGAGTATGAGTCATTTGGCCAAACAAATGATGTTAAAAGTGCTAAGCTGTCTCAGTGGAGGATTCCAAGCCAAAACTGGGTTCAGCAGGCTATCAATTCTTGGGGTGCTCATCTCTTGGATTTCTGCACTGCACAGAGGATTGAACCAGATGCCCTTCGGGGCCTCCTCCATGATATGTTTATGTAGGCTGGCTCAGGGTGTTGTTGTTTGTCACTGATGAATTAATTAAAAACGAACAGTTTTGCAGTACTCCATATGTTATATTTATTTGCATTAATAGGTTCCATACAACCTTTGCACTATAATAAATATGAGAGTAATACCAAAGCAATTTAAAGAACTACCTACACAGAGCTTCTTTTTCTGAAGTCAAGTGCAGCTAGCGTGAAGGTATTTCAACTATGAAGTCATTTTTCATTTGATCAAGGAGTCAAATAGGCTTGATGGATAAAGAAAGAAGAAACACTATTATCAAGGCAGCCGACAGCTCACAGGCATTGCATTCCACATTCCTGTGCTTGGAATGAGGGATAAAACAAACGTTTGCTGTTTCTGCTCCCCAGCCCCACCCACTTTTTAAAAAAATCTAATTTAAAGGTTCTCTGCTTCTCTTGTCCTATCTCTTCAAAAGACCTAAGGAATGGCCAGTACAGAAGAGTTATGACTTTCCTGTCCCCTCCCACTCCATTTGAAGTGCGTAATCTGATTTCATTCTAAAGATAAATCAATACAATGTTTGCACTCATTATGCTGCCCACATTTACTTATGTAACAAACTGGGAAAGTTGCAGAATAATATTGGGGAAGGTAATTCTCCTATCTTTACACCCAAAGAAGCCCCGTGCAGTGTGTCACTTGTATAGGAGCAATCTGGCAGCTCGCTTTATGTGCATTACTGACATGTGTATTTTAAGGACAGACGTTTTGTGCAAGGAAAAGTCCAGGGTTCATCTGGTTCTAGCATCCTGTTTCCAATGGGGGCAACCAGATGCTTCCAGAAACTGAAGCACGGCATGAAGGCAACTGTTCTCCTCTATTGCTTTGTTCCGGCAATTTATATTCAGAGCTGCATCATCTCTGAATAGAAGGTTTCAGTAACCCTCATGACCCCTGGCCTTTGGCAGGCTCACGGGTGTTGCTTTTTCAAATTCCCTTCTAATAAAACAACAAAACGCTACCTGTTTCTTTGCAGCGCACCAGGCAAAAGTCCCCTTTGCTTCATACATGCAACCTTTGCAACCTTCAGAATGGTTTTGTGCAAAACGGCTTGCCAGCTAGCCATGCCCCCCGGCAGTTGGGGGAACGAACAATGCCGGCGCAGCTGATTAACCGCAGCGCTCGGCCCTCCTGCAAACAGGCAGCTCTGCAGGAAGTTCACGCGGAGTCAAGTGCTAATCGGACCATGTGATCGCTGTGCCCGATTAGGAGGTTTGTTCTGGTGAACTCCAAGCGAGGAGAGAGGATCGGAGGAGCCTAGTGTGGAAAACGTGTGATAAAGGCATTTTGTGTGCGTGTGTGTTACCTCCCCTCCTCGGGCAGGATTGACACCAGGAAAGAGACAGAGGTCCGAACGACACCCAGCCAGCAGAGCTGTCACCAGGTAAGAAAGAGAAGCGGCCCGAGTCAAGTGAAAATGCTGTTTGTTCTTGCGCAGGTGCCTGGCAGGCAGCGGAGCAGAGCAGGAGCTGGTGCCCAGCACCGCCGGTGCCAAGGCACGGGGGGCCGAACGAAGGTAAGGCACCCTGGCTGAAAGGAGGTGACGGGCGGGGCACCTTCGCAGCTAGAGGCCCTGCCCGCGCCCTCTTTCCCCGGGAACCGAGGCTAACTCCGAAGTCCCCGCAGAGCGCACAGCGGATGCCATACTACGCTTGGCAACTAGGCTTTGTTCTGGGATTGTAGGATCGGGAAAAGGATTACAGCGCCTGCTTTTACATAGGAGATAGATTTCAGCCAACCCAGGCCAATGCAAAGAGCACGCAGGATATCACCAGCGGCAGGAGGCTCCCCACCAGCTCTTTCTGGTCATCTGATGAGTCAGATTGAAAGACAGAAACTTCTCACGTTTTACTTTTCTGGAAATGAAAAACATAAATTAATTATTGCTTTAAATGTCAAGCGGAACAGTCATTTCTAATTTCTCCTGATTAATCAGTGCAAACCATAAAAACAAGTCGTCTTCAAATATTTTATCTGGAAAGCTGGTTAGAGTTGCTCTCTATGCATTACTAGGCATTAACGTCCACGGGAAGGCCATCAGCAGGCCTGTCCTGCCTATTTATGAATTAAACAAAACTGATCTTGCGAATGCATTAGCCATCCAGAAACGTTTGTGGCAAACAGAAAACTGAGAGCTAATAAATGTATACAATTAGTTCAAATCCAATCAGTCTGAGCCAATGCTCTGCAGATCCAGTATGTTTTGACCAACATAATGATACTAATTAAAAGCAAACAATTTTCTTAAATTCAGTAATGTTTCTCCTTGAGCATGTGTTGCAAGTGGAGGTCAAGTAGTTTTCTTGGGAACAAAATGGAAGTGGTTTGCCATTGCCTTCTTCCAGCAAGTTTTTGACTTCCCATTCTAGTCTGACCTGCTGGATTTTCTCATGGTCTTCCATCCAGGTACAAACCAGGATCAGCCGTGGTTGGTTAGGCATTACAGTACTGCCTAGCTGGGCCATTTGATGAGGATGAATTAATTGTAAATCCATCTCAGTGGAAAAACTGGATGGTCATATAGAGCTTCTGTCACGTGCAGTGAATCAATTTGTTTGAGTGGGGAAAAAGCAGCTTCTCAATATTACTATGTTAGAAGGTCCATTGGGCGACATTGGTCAGTTCTTTAACATGCAATATACTCTCTAATCAGTTGTATAAATTTAATAAATAAATAAAATAAATATTGTGAGGAGCAAGCACTGCTTTAAGCTCATGAGAAGAATTGCTAGCACAGTAAAACCTTGATCTCATAGGGTTGTCTGTTAATGCAGAATCTCTGTTAAATCTGGGATTTTGGCATGTGTATTTTATGCAAGAGTAAAATGGGAATGCCATTTTTATCCATTATTCTCCAACATACCTTACATATGTGTAAATGGTGAATGAGAGTTTACACGTATACAGAAGCACATAGCAGACAGGCAGATTTTGTCCACTGCATCTAAAGACCACTTGAACTGAGGTCTGTTAAACTGAGTGTTTACTGTATTTTTTAAAGTTTTATTTTGAGAAAAATGATGATAGAATGAGGTGGGCAAGAGGGGGAATGAGATGGAGTTGCTACACCGTAGAAATATATATCTCGGCTTTTATTAATTAGAGTATCCCAGTTAAAACAATGACAGTTTCAGTATTTCTCTAAAAAGAAAAAAAAAAATCTACATCTGGCATACAAAGTATTGTAGAAGGACCAAATAGTCAACTAACTGCCTATATGTATGGATTTAAACATGGAAAGGCAGTCTATGAAATAACCACTTGTGGCTGGACAGTCTTCCATTTTTTAAGTATGAGTAAAAGGTAAAATTTCCTTCAAGTGAACTGCCCAGTCTTGTTGGGAGTTGAGCAGCATATAAATTTAAATAATAATAATAAATCAAGCTCAACTTCCAGCTATTCATGGACACAACTGTGTATTTTCCTTTGGAACAATGCAGAAGTGGGTTGCCATTTTATTCCTTTGTGGTATTCTTTAACTTCCAAATCTGATTGCCATAAATGTTCTCAAAATCCTCAGTTTGATTCTGGAGTGCAGGAATACAAATCAAGAGAATAGAAATATCAATACACATCAGTCATGGTCTCCTGGTTTCTAGCCACTACACCAACTGGTTCTCTATGCCTATAGTAATGCAAAATCTATTCCACCACCCTAACATTTAACAGTTACGTTTTTCTGAGTGATTAAGGGTGGCCAATACGTATGGAAAGCTAATTGCCATTACAGCATATTAACTTTAGTTTCAAATCCAGAGAGATGGAACTTATAGAAGGAAAGGCAGCTTTCCGTTGTTTTACATGTATAGAATGTGATAGTGTCTGGTACCTTTTCGCTTTAGTGGTCTGTCTATCAAACTTGGTCTAGTAATTGTTTTACGTAACTAACTTGTAGCTTTGTCAGTGTGTAGTTAGGAGATAATTCCTATAATATTTGGGGAAATAGGTACAGGAGTAGTAAGATCTGATAGGGTGAAGATAAATCCTAAGAAAGGTATAATTGACAGTTTATTAAAATACAGAAACTGAGTAGGGATGAGCGCGTCTCACTTCTGTAACTTGTGCAAGAGCCCACTTGGACTGGCGGTTAAGGCACTGGATGAGGAGCAGAGAGACCTGAGTTCTAGTCCTGCTTTAAGCATGGAAGCCAACAGAATGACTTTGGACCATTGGACCAGCCATTCTCAGATCTAGAGAAGGCACTGGCAAACCACTTCCAAAAGTATTGCCTAGAAAACGCCATGGAGTTGCCAGGAATCAAGATTGACTCAAAGGCAAAACAGTTATCATTCTGAATATTGCTGTTGAGCAGTACTTGGCAGTGTTTTTATGTATGGTAGCTCTGAATAGGATAGTAAAATATCACCATCTGCTCTTAGAAATCGGGAATTTATTTTATGAAGTAAATACATTTCAAGAATCAGAATATGGTAATTTCATCCTTTTTTATGACTTAGCTGTTCCCATTCTTAAACATGATAACATCATGGGTAGATATGTTTACTGTAATATTCAGAGATTGTGCTTTGCTCAGGAGTCTGTTTGGAAAAGGGTCTTCTTTTTCAGCGTTTACTGCTGGACTCAGACATGTCCATCGGCCTCTAGAATTTGTAATCATCTCCGTAAATGCAGCCCTCCAGCCTTATAGTATCTCCTTTCCTTTTTCTACAAGTTGTGTAAAGTTCAGACACAAGTTATGGATGTGAGATGCCCTCCGCTCTTTCTCTCTCTCCTTTCTCTGGGGAGAAGGGCATCATAAAGGAGCTGCACACCTGAGGTTACTGTGGGATATGGACAAAACATGAATATCTCCAGCAAAAAGCATTTGTCCTCATAGATAAGATTTAGAGCAATCTGAAATTCAGATTCAGGCAGAATAGGTCACTTCCATTATTACTCCACAGGGCAGTAACTGTTATTTTGAGTGCGTTGTCATGTTTTCAGGAGAACCTCTAACAAGGTTGGTGCTGCTTCTGTGAACTTATCTGGTCCCCTTTTAAAACCATCTGAAGTGATGCCTTTTTCTGTATTTTTCTTTCTTGCTCTGCAGTATCCTTTTTCAGGAGTTGCAAATGGATTCTCACCATAGATTTATATCAAGGCACTGCTAATTCTTCTTTCATTGCTGTTGTTAAAGATGCCCAGGATGGAATGTGCCTTTTTAATAGCAGTGTGGATGCCTTAAGGTGATGCTTTTTAAGACCTGACAAATGAGAGTTGATAGCCAATGAATCTCTGGGGGCATGTTCCAAAGAGGCACAGAGGTAGTAATGAGCAGAACCCTTCCTCCGCCCTAGTCATGGAAAAGATGAATCTCTACGTATAACTGGAAGCGAGTCTCTGGTGGTCCTGGGTTTGGAAAGGAAGCAGAGGAAATCTGTGGCACTTTGGATTGGAGTGTCAGTGCTGTAAACTCACTTCTATTCACTTTTCTATAGCACAGAAATACAGCACAGATAGTCCTTGACTTATGACCATTTGTTTAAGAACCATTCGAAGTTATGACAGTGCTGAAAAAAGTGACTTATGACCAATCCTTGCACTGATGACCATTGCAGCATGCTCATGGTAACATGATCAAAATTCAGGCGCTTGGCAATTGGCATGTATTTATGACGGTTGCAGCATCCCGGGATCACATGATCACCATTTGCAATCTTCCCAGGGGACTTCCAACAAGCAAAGTCAGTGGGGGAAGCTGGATTCGCTTAACGGCCATGTGATTTGCTTAACGACCGTGGCACAAAAGGTCATAAAATCAGGCGCCACTCACTTAATGACCACACTGCTTAGTGACAGAAGTTCCAGTCCCAATTGTGATTGTAAGTTGAAGACTACATGTACATCCTTGGTGAATGGCTTCTAAGACTCCTGACCAGTTGGCACAATCTAAATAGATGCTGTACTAAACATTGCAAGGATCTATCCCGAACATGGATCATATGAGTTTAGAAGCTGCCTTGCCAGTTTGGTCTAGTGGTTAAGGCCCCAGGCTAGAAAGCAGGAGGCTGCGAGTTCTAGTCCTACCTTAGGCGTGAAAGCTGGCTGGGTGACTTTGGGCCAGTCACACCCTCTCAGCCCAACCCGCCCCACAGGGTTGTTGTTGTGGGAAAATAGGAGGAGGAAGGCACATTAGCTGCCTTGAGTTATTTGTAAAAATAATAAAGGCGGGATAAAAAATCTAAAAAAAAAAAGATGCTAACTCCAAATTAAAGAAGGGAAAGGGAAGAGAGATTCAGTGTGGTTCACTTACACTAGACTAAATAGAAGTGACTAGCTATGTCCTTTCCACTGTAGTTAAGGATGACTTAGCATTCCCTGTCAGGAACAGGGTGTGTGTTTTACTGCATTGATTTATGCAGCTGAGCAGAGAGGCCCATTGATCTCCTTCTGTTGCATCCATTTATACATGGGTTCCCTAAAATATCCAAGCTATCATTCTGCATGCACATCCATTGCATATAAAACTAATCTTATCCTAAGGTCATTACTTGTGTAAAGAAACTTTGGATTGATTCTTTCCTTAAAAAGAATGGATAAGACATCAGTTGATAGTCATGCTCCATTTATTTATCTTATTATGATACAGGAGATGGCAATATTTTTCCTGGGTATGGAATGAATGATCTTCTGTTAAAGCTCTAAAATGCTATTCTTGGGACTAGAGTTTATATTACAGACATCTGTAAATAATGGTATATGCCCAATATTGCATGACAAGTATACCACCAAAAACATATTTATTATCTTCTGTGGGATTTGGATCCATGACATAACTCTTCCCTTATCCATTGATTAACTAATCCTTACATTCTGTGATGGGTAGGCCATGAGAGGCGGTCTGGGGTGTCTAGACACTGTACTGCTTTGCTTGGGAGTGTAAGGTTCCTATTTTTCCCTGAAAATTCCCTCTAAATTCCGCCCCCCCCCCAACAAAACCAAAACATTAAGTGCCTTGGGACTGCAAATAGAATGTCATTGTAGATCATTTAGAATCTGACAGATGTTAAAAGATGCAGAGGAAAACCTGCAATATATTAAAGGTTTCCTCTTTCAGGGAAAGTTCTCTTCTAGGACAAATAAAAGGCCTCTGCTATTTAGTTATTTCACATAGTTCTCAGGTCTAGAAATTCCCACCAAATTAGGAGCAAACTCCTGATATATATTTGTTTGGGGACAATGGTATTACAAGTCATAATGGCCTTTGTTGTGAGGATGTACATTGATAGCAGAATGTAATACAGGCACCTGATTGAGAGTTTTGCAGGTGGCCCGATTCACTTTGGACTGATCATTTCAACATCCAGCATTTGTAAATGAAGAGTATTTGCTGAGGGTTAGAAAGATCATAGAGAGGAACTTCTTGGACCAGATGCCCCACTAGTGGCCATCTTTCTCCTTCATTTCTGGGAATCTCAAGGTTCCATTAGATGGGAAAAGACACTATTTCACATAATCTAAAACAACTAGGCTTTTAGAACATCATTGTTTTATTAGGCCTAATCAAGTAGAGAGAGCGTATTTAACAAATGGCAGAGATTTGAGAAGCAGAAAAGACTTGTTTGATATATTTCTTTCTTCATGTCTAAATACAGCTGCTCCCCTGATTGGAGATGTGAACATTCAACTTTATATAACTCATCAGCCATGTGTAGTGTTTCATCAGAAGATCCATCATGTCCTTTATTGTGTGCTGTCTAATAAGCAAAAATGAGACTGTCAAGCAAGTCATCACACATAACTGCCAGCAACATCTGGCTTCCTGTTGATAAATTAGGCAAACAGTTGGGTTCCTCATCCTATTCAAGTAAACAGACAGAATGATGAATCTGAGGACCAGATTACATGTGACAATATTTGCTCATTCAAGTAGAAATGTTAAATATTTGTTTGTGTAGAGGCAGTTCCATTTTAATATGGAAGGAGCACATGAATGGCAGCAACTCTTTTATACAGAGTATTTTGCAAGTCAGGTGGTCTCCAAATGGAATATAAATAAATAAGTAAAATTGTTTAGAGACTTTGCTCTCTAATACTGATCACTTCCATATTTTGGTATGCTGGTAATGCATTCCTCTCATGTCACACCTTTTTTGATGTAAAGATCAAATATTGTACATCCAAAAACCCACCCAATTTATGTGTGATTGGGGCTGTTATATGAGTAAATATGGCTGCCTCCACCTTTTCCATTTTATCTCTAACTAGGCTCGATGTAAACCTGTTTTTGATAGAGATGTGCCTCATTTGCCTTCCTAGTGTTGCAAATACCCCTTAAACATCTTCAGTGGGGTTGAATTGCAATGACTGAGTGACAGACATAAAAGGAAAGAATATTATGGCATCATCAGCCAAACAGTGATTGGAGAACAACATCCCATAAAGCCCTCGAGGGATCAAGGCCCTACTTAAAACAAGGGTAGGCATTCTTCTCTGAAGTCCCTAGAGTTGTAGACGCTGTGTCTCACAAGATATTTTGAGCCACTCAAAATATAACCATAGAACAAGCTGGCTTCAGGCTTAGCTACTCAACCACTGTCCAGTGTAGTAACACTGCACCACTTATAAAAAAATATTCCCACTTCCCTCTGCGGATCACTATACAGCCTTCATTGATTTGAAGCTGACTTCAACTCAGTTTCCCAAGATAAAACATGGTGGAAAGTAGCAGCTGTATCTACTGACCACTGCCGCCTCTAGCTGATTATGATGCTTTATGAAAACACTTTATGCAAGTCAAATGCTCACGCTGTGGTGGCCCAATGAACCCCATTACCACTCTTAAAACAGGTTAAGCAGGATTGCATTCTGCCCCCTCTGTTATTTAACTTTTATGTTAATGATATTTTTACCATTATTATTACTAATAGGAAACACTAATATTAATAGTAATTAATAATTAATTTACTAGTATTAGTAAATTCATTAGTATTAATTACTGTTTTACTTTCATTCTCTTTGCTTTCTGTTTTCGCTCCTTAATCTATGGCTGTTTTATCTAATTTCTTATTGTTCCTTAGTTCTACGATTTCAAATTCAATAAATAAATAGTCTTCCATTTTATTTTATTTTTTTTGAAAAAGAACTTCTAAATGGCTATGGGCATGAATAGTCTTTGGTTAAGTAGTCATCAATTCACAGACCTAAAATATTTGAAAAAATACATGAAAACCAATTTTAGAGGAATTAGAGGAATATGGTCCTCATCATATCAAATAGCCCACACTTGATAACTGCTCTTGCCATCAGGAATATTTTCATAACATTAATATTAAATCTAATATTCCATCATAGGGAGCAGCTCTTGGTCTTCTTCTGTGTGATACTCTTTCAGATAGTCAGACTGCCACTGTATTCCCACTCAGTTTTTTGTGTTTCTTTTCAACAAACTATATCCTTCAACTGTTGTATTTCAGTTATCCTACAATTTATACCTAAGAAATCATGTTTGCTTTCCTGTAATAAGATTTAGAATACATTTCATCTATTTCAGTATTTCCTATACTCTGAGCATTATCATGTAAGACAAAAGGCCAGTGTCTTAATTTTTCATGGAATGTTTAATAGATCCCAATATAGCTTCTCTCTCACTTCTTTTGGTAGTTCACAAGCCCTTATCTGAAATTTTATTTAATTTCCATCCCACACAGCATTCACTCTTGAAGAAACTCATAATGCTTTAGCTAACTCCAGTATTTCTGAGGTGAAGTGCATCTTGTGTTAGCCATCCATCACCCAGGTAATACAGGCCCTGGTCCTAGAAACTGAATCTTTCCTTTCTGTATTATTTCTGCAGCTAGTCATTCACCTGCAGTGTTCTGTTTTTCCTTTCCCGTCCTCTTCAATGGACTGGAAGGATAGATGAAGACATCTTTGCTCCCTATTTCTTCAGCTTCCCTCCTTGAACTTCAAAGGATGAGCAGATAGGATTTCAATCAAACAGTGGACTTTAGGAGTCTTGGCAGTTACTCTGACACATGCTTGATCCATGCTCCCAGAAAACAATGCACCACCAAGCCCAAGCAGCACACATTTATTTCTGTTCTTCATAGAAAGGAGTCACTATCATTAAAATTCTTGTCTTTGTCTTCTTGCATATAACAGTTCGCCAGCTCTTCTTATGTCACATTAGGCAGGGCTCTTGTTGCTCCCCCTTGTTTCTTCTTTAACTCTCTAAAAGCTTTCTTTGAGTTCCAGTGTTGTAAAATATCTTCTGGAACTTTTTCTGTTTCTCATTCTTACTCATTGCGACTATACCTCTGTTTTGCTCTCTTCTCCATGGAAAGTTCCTTTCTTTGTCACCTCCTGTTGTTATTTCCATCTTTCTTTGGTCTTAGGAGTCTCCATCCTCATTTATAGCTGAAATATGTACTGTATATTTGTTTTCCTTGAGTCCTGTAATGGGTTTGTATTTACTGAATATGTATGCTTCAGTGTTTCAAGATGGGAACGAAAATGTTCCACAAGTTTTGTAGATCACAACTACAGAGTGACCTCCAACCATATTCTTTTCTGTTTTCTGTGTTGTTACCTTAGATAGAAATTTGTTAGATATCTTCCACTTGAGTTTCCATGCTGAATTCTGTTATAAAAATGCTATTAGCTATCCATTTGTTCAGTGAGTTTGTTCCCTAGAAATTGGCTTTCTTGTATTCCTTCTATAGCATCTGCTTGCTCTGCTTAGAAGTAATCATTCACGGCAGGCAAACAGCAACTCTCATTATATATATCTTAAAAAAAAAAAAAAGCTATTCAGGAGATTACTTTTCCATATAGCGGAACCCACAGTTCCCTGGAATACATAGCTTCTTTGCTCACTCTGTTCCCTTCAACTGTTTGTTGCTGATTGTTAACTCAATTATATTTATACATTGCAGCCAAAATTATGGCAAAACTTGTTTAAATGCACAGTGACAACTCAAATTTCTTTTTGGGAAAGTGTCACCAACTTCTTTTTGGAAGGACAGAATCTTTGTATATTGCTGGAACTAAACATTTTCAGTCTTTTTCCATATACTTAGCTACAGCTAAGTGATTAAACTTACGTAGATTTTGGCAGTGTCTAAAAGAACATAGTTCCCTCACTTTAATTCATCCTAAATAAAAACTAATTTCAAAATTATTCTGAGAAAGCAACATATGTACCTTTCTGGAATGGATACTTCCCATTAAATCTGAACAATTTTAAACAAAGACTAAATGTGCTTTGGAAAAAAACCCAGATACCTCAAAATATACCTCTAGGTGTGACCAGTGATAACATTTATCTTACCTTTATTTCACGTTTAGGGGTTCAGCTTTCTAAAAATGGGAAAGAAGCTCGACCTTTCCAGATTAACAGATGAAGAGGCCAAACATGTCTGGGAAGTGGTTCAGCGGGACTTTGATCTGCGCAAAAAAGAGGAAGAGCGTTTAGAGTGAGTATTTAAAACAGAAATGTTTGGTGAGTTGTCAAATGACTTATTCCACCCACAGGCACCTCCCATGTTTTCTGTAGAACCTGCATGTGGCCCCCATTTCAAAAAAGGTCATGTATGCATGCATGTTTAAAGTAGGACAAATCGCTACTCTGGGAAAGGAAATAGCTTACTACAAGACCTGTCCTAACTCTCTGGCCCTTATTTGTATGCTGTCATACTTTACACTGAAGCAGTATTCCATGCCACCACCACAAAAACTCTTGGACAACAGGAAAATGTTCAAATATATCTTCATCAGCAAATAGGGTTCCATGGCCTAATTACACAAACTCACTCTAATTGTTATTTTGCTCACTCTAAATAATTCATTCCATCCATGTAAATTGTCATTTTAGACAGTTTAGTTCAGCCATTTACTCCATAGAATACCATGGACTGCCAAGAAAACAAACGGGTCATCGAACAAATCAACCCAGAGTTCTCACTCAAGGCACGAATGACCAGGCTCAGATTATCCTACCTTGGGCACATTATGTGAAGACCCAGCTCTCTGGAAAAGGCTCTAATGCGTGGCTCTCTGGAAAAGGCTCTAAGGTGGAAAGAAAGAGAAGAAGAGGACAACCAGCAGCAAGGTGATGAGTGCAGAAGACCAGGTTAGGGACAAATTGTCATGGAGGAAATCTATCTATGTGACTGCTAGGAGTCGACACCAACTTGATGGTACATAATCAGCCAATCAATCAGTCAATCAATCGTTAATAGAGAATGTCTGCCCTGCAGTTATAGCACACTATGCCAGCATTCCCATATCTGACTGGCCAATCTAGCAGCTGTAGTCATATACTGGACACCAGCTAGAGCTAAATGAGGAAGATTGCTATCTCAGTGCCTTACATTTTCATTTCAGGTATCTCAACTAAAAGAACTGAGAAAGGACTTCTGTCTGATGTGAGAGCTGGAGTAGAAAGAAGGGGCATTCATAAGACTAATGCTTATGTTCTGGAGATAGCGCTTGGATTAGGTGGATAAAAAGAGTTAGAAAAACTAGCTAGGGGACTGATAGATGCACAACATAGTGGGATAAGTGCACAAAACCTGGAGCTATTGTAGTAAGGCAGTACAGATGTTGGACTAGGGTCAGGGAGACTCAGGTTCAAGTCTGTCCTTAGTCACGGAGACTCGCTGGGACAATTGCTGTCTCTCAGATTAACTTACCTCACCAGGTTGTTCTTATTGGAAAAAAATAAATGGATGGTACATACATTACCATGACTTCCTAGAAAAAAAACAAGACAAAATGGAACTCCCAAGGAGTGAGAAAAGTCACTAAGCCATTTAGAATAGTGGGATGGAACATTTTGCCTGAGACAAGACAAACCTATACAGTAAAAGGAACAGAAATGGTCATCCGGTCTGGCAGGCCAGTGTTTGTGGAATTCACGTTTCAAAAGGAGGTTTGGCAGGAAAGCGGACTAATGATCACAACCCTCAGACTCTTCTGTTCTCTCTAGTCTTTTCCTATGTAATTTTGCTATTGCTGCATGTATTGGAGGATAATTCTATCCTCAAACCTATAATTGACTAACGCAAATACACAAATAAAGAAATAATTGGTAGGGTTACAGGTCAGAGGCTACTATGCCTATGTTTATTGCTCTTTATCAGTTCTTCTCAAATAAACACTACAACTAGACTTAATATGATGGCAAATTATTGTGTTTCTGCATATTATTATTTATTCATTTACTTTGGGAGGATAAATAAAATCAAATTCTTCTATTAGATGGTGGGGACAATATGCAATGGAATAGGATTACAATTAAAATTTGTAATATTTCAATACAAATATATTTTGTTTAGATGTTTAAAACTCTTCCATTGGGATTAATGCTCACTGATTTTTTAAAATTTTATTTGAAGTACAAACATGCATTTTTCTGAGTGCACAAATTGTGGGTATGTAAGCCTTTTTTCTTTTTCTTTTTAAGAATATAAGCAGAACCACCAAGACTGCATAAATGTATACTTTAGTTGGGAAGAACTTTTAGCTAAGTATGAAAACTCAATTAACACATTTGAATGCTGGAAAAATCTATAACAGCCATTGCTTTTTTGTTTTTGTTGTTTCTGAACCCTTCCAAGAGGAACGTGAGGGACAGTGCAGAAGAATTTGAATGACTTAATAAGGCTTGATGTACAAAAGCCTTGTTTCATCTGAGAGAGGCTTCGGCTAGACGGGACCAGTTGCCGCACCACAAAATATATGCTCTTCAGAGCTGGGCTTTGTCTTGAAAAGCTAACACAAGGATGGAAAAGAAGAGGGGCAAATACTAGATTTCTTGGAAAGAGACAGGAAAGCCTAATTCAGCCTTGTTAAAGGCCTTATTTATTTTGAGGGAAGAGTCTGGAAATGAATCATCAAAATGGGAGGCTCCTTAAAGCATACATTTATATTAATAGGTCTACAGTATCCATAATCAGAAAAATAATATTTTCCTATGTCCATGGTGAGCAGACTGTACTCTGAGTGGTTCAGGAAGAGGAACATTTTGGCAAAAATGAGAGAATCATTATGGTCTAATCACCCTAAATCTTTCCCTAGAGGCAGTTTAGTCTTTGTACTATATGTTCACATTACAGAATAATTCAGAGTGGCTTGTATCTTGTACTTGCTGATACTAGAAAGGCCTCAGAGGCCTTTCTCAAATAACAGATGGATTGGTTTAGCTATCTGGAACTTCTTGGGCACCAGGAAGGTTGCCTCTTTTGCTTCTGCTGTTCGCTGACTTCCAGTATTGAGACAGGCTTCTGCTCTTCCCTGCACTTTTTGAGAAAAGCAGCAACGTGAACTACAGGCCACAGGTCCTGCATGGTCCTACTTATTTATTTTGAGTTTTAGTGTGTCTTTCAAGTACCAGAGCCATCAAAGTGGCTTACTCTATAGAATAAATACAATAAAATCATAATCACAATAATGTCACAGTCCAGTACTAAAGAGCCGAGAGTTAAAACCAGACACACTCAACATTTTGTACATGTAGAGTGCAAAATTAAAATAATTCAAAAGCCTGCTGAAATAAGAACCCTTTTAACCGTTGGCCAGATGCAGAGAGAGAGAGAGAGAGAGATGGCTTCCAAAGGAAGAAGAGCATGTAATATCCTTTGTATGGCTTCTAGGCAGGGTCTCTCCTGCTTCTAAAAACAGACTCTGGTGGTGATTATTTTTGTGAGAGAAGATATTGCTTTCAACAGTCTGTCCACAAATAATTGATTATGTTTTAGGTAATAAGTATCGCTTCAGCTGTGGCCAGAAATAGACTAGATTCCCACCAAAATTCTGGCCACCACACTTTCTGATAACAGAGGTTTCCAAATACAGTGGTACCTCGGGTCACGAACAGCACAGTTTGCAAAATTTTGCTTCTGTTCGTGAATGCCGGATTGGGTGACAAACAGGATCCGCGGCCATTTTCCCTCCCGTGACACGTGGTTGTGGCTTCCTGTAGGGAGGG